TTCTTCTTCTTCTGATGAGAGACAATGTACTTTTCTACTTCTTAGCCTTCTTAGTAGACGAATCTAAAACAAACACGACATAATGAGAGGGTTTTACTTGTTTTTTTTTTTTGGTTACCAGGAATCGAGATCAAGAGCAAACTTATGTACCTGGGACAGCANAGCCAGTTGACAGCTGGCGTANTTTTGGCCGAAAATACTTTTTAGCTACAATCTTACATTCTTTCACATCACATTCACAGCCACTAAGCTTCAAGGCCTTTTCTACTGCGTCTTCTCCCTCGATATAAGCCACAACTTTGTTCTGGCTGTAGAAATCAACAAAGACAAGTCTTTCGTAATTGGCATTTTAATAACTTGATGAGATAAGATGGGAAAAAAATAGAGGAAGAAATCCACAACAAACCTTTTGAGAAGATAAGCTTCAGTGACCATTCCACATGAAGAGAAATGTTTATTCAGGACGGGCTTGACATCTTCCTCAGAAAGCGAAGTGTCATAACCCACAACATTAATCCTATAGTAATAATATGATTGCAATGTTGTTATCAAACATGACAAGAAGGCATAATGTTACGGATACTATTAAACAATAAGTCTATACTTACACGCCTGATCCTTTAAAGCGGGGTCTGGGAGGATTAGACTTACGAAGTTTTGTAAACTCAACTTTTATATCATATCCTCCCATGTCACTTCCATTAAGTTCCAACGCCTTCTTCTCTACGTCAAATCCAGAAACGCAAACGAGAGCTCTGTAAAGCAAAAACAAGTTTTTAGTTACTTTTTAAAAAAAAGATTTGGAGGAAGAAGAAGACACAAACCTCGAGTGCCATCTGGACACATAAATCTTCACGATCTCTCCACATGAACTGAAATGTTTTGTCAACGCCCTCGTGATTCCATCCTCATCAAGTGAAGGGTCATAACCCCGAACGTAAAAACTGAAATAACATAAATAGTAGAAATATTTTCATCAACACATGACGACAAGAAGAACACATCTTATAAAAGATACAAATTCTCCAAACAAACAAAACAAAACAAAAAGAGAGCAAATTACCGGACATATCGAAGAACGTGTGCATCACTAGATTCACCATCCTTCAATTCCAGCGATTCAATCCCCTAATTAAGGTACCAAAGATCTAATCAGAAATTCGAACACTTTTCCTCCATACCAATAGAGAAACATAAACACAAATTAAAAAGTGAGACAAAAGAAATCCATAAGGAGGAGAAGAAGAAGATTACTCTGATGGTAGATTCGTCCATGGTGAAGTTGCGAGAAGAGCGAACGATGGCTGAGTTCTCGAGAGGCAAATAACCTATGAAGATATTTTCCACACTTAGAGATTTAGGTTAGAAGAAGGTCTGTATATATATTTTAAGAGCAACCGCTTGGGCCTTCAATTTAGTTCGGGCTTCGACCAAGCCCATTTTGTCCTAGAGGAAAGGGGAAAGTGTCCTATATTGTTTAACACGTCAGCGCACGAATGAGTGCCACGTGGCATGACACTGTCTCAATAACCAATGAGAAGCTCAGCTTAAAACACGTAGGTTCATTAATTTTTTTTTTGGTCAATAAAGTGAGAGAGAGAAACCCTCTATTAGTTTTTTTTTTGTTTTCAACCGTGATTAGTTAATAGCAGCTAAGAGCATGATTATGGGTAGATAATAGAAGTAAATATAGTGAATTTTTAATATTATAAAATTTATATATTTATTTACCTCATATTTGATTCTCTAATTTTAGAATATATATTACTCATATTTAGTGGGGTAATATAACATT